CCCTCCCCTTCTCCTCCTCCTCCCCCTCCCCCTTCTCCTCCTCCTTCTTCTTTACTGAAATGAACATGAAAATGATCTGTAGTGTCAAAGGAGAAAAGCAAGATCAGTTTTATTTTATCACTTCATCAACTTCATATTCTTGTTTCATCATGTCATCAATTCGATAATTTAAGAATATTTTCTGAACTGCCTTTAAAAAAAATTGAAGTATAGCTGATTTACAATGTTGTGTTGGTTTCTGGTGTACAGCAAAGTGATACAGACACATATTTTTCATATTCTTTTCCATTATGGTTTATTACAGGATATTGAATGTAGTTCCCTGTGCTATACAGTAGGACCTTGTTGTTTATTTTATATATAGTAGTTTGTATCTGCTAATCCCAAACTCCTAATTTATCCCTCCCTCACCGCATTTTGCCTTTGGTAACTATAAGTTTGTGTTCTGTGTGAACTGACATTTTTATTTCACCACATCCCACTGCATTCCAGAAGAGTTTTTAGGCAGCTCATGAAACTGGTGTAAGCTAGCTTTGAGAATGTTTTTCACGGGTCTCGTTTTGGCCATTATCAGCCACACTATAAATACCTCAGTAATTAGTGGTCATTTCATGATCAGGATGAGGTATGGTATTCCATACTATCCCGTCCCATGCTTCAAATTTTATATCTTCTGTCCAGAAAATATAGAAAGGGCAATAGAAATCATATCCCCTAGAAATACCTGATTTTTAAAATGTTTTGATGCCTTTCTCAGAATAAATATGGCATAGAAATGTATAGCTATATACTTTGTATATAAAAAAATTAATTTTAGTGTACAAATTTTAATAAACTTCTTTTAAACAATATATTGTGAACTTTTCCCTATTAAATAGTATTCTTTAACAACATTTTCAAGAATATTAATAATTTTCTATTGTTTGTGGTATGTTCAGTAACTTTCACCTTTCAGAATATTTAAGTTATTTACAATATTTTACTGTTGGAAACCACACGTAAATATTGTGGCTTAGTTTTTATTTGTATATATATATGTTCATTTGAGGATATTTCTAACTATATTTCTATGTTGATGTATGTGTCATGGGTATAAATTTATAAAGTTGGAAGTTGAAGAGATCAAAGCTTCTTATTTCCTTGTTACAGAAATGGAAGAAATTAGGATGTTTAATGTCTACCACGTATTAGTGATAGAGTAAACAACAGTTGAGAGATTGGGCTATAATGTGCTTAGTGCAATGCTTGGCACATAATAATAGCTATTGCTTATTGAACACCTATTAAGGGCCAGACCCTGTTTTAAATATTTCATACTTGTGTATAGCCCGAGTCTGGCTGTAGAGTCCACGCTATCACCACTACCCTGAACAGCCACGCTAAGTGCTAGCTCAGGGTTTGAGTGTTCAGTAAGTGCTAGCTTATTTCTACTGCACAGCTCTATAATCCAGAGGTGGTTTTGGTTCAATAGTATTTGGATTTTAGAAAGATAATTTAATACATATACTCTATTTTATATAACAGTCCTATTGGGGTTTTGAGCAGAACCTCATAAGCAAATGCGTTGGTGTTTCTGCAGCGAAGCATGTTTATCTTTACACTGAGATTAAAAAGAAAACAGAACTCCCCCAAAACTATGCTTCGCCTGATTCATTCGCCAAATGAATTTTGAAAACCCTTTGGCTTTTAGAATTGCAGGTAAGGGATTGTGGACCTTCATAAAACTCTTAGAAGAGTAACTGGCATTTAGAACACACTCTATATATGCTGGTGAATACTGCTACTACTATACTGGTTATCATCAGATACTTATATACTCATGTGCATAGAAAATTCGTGAATCACACAGTGCTGGGAGGAGTTCTTTTCATACCACGTGACCTGAGAAGGGCAAATCTAAGTGTTGGAGTCTTTCAGCCATTCTTCTCTAAATCAGAATAAGAGAGGGCTTAAGTGATAGCCGTCCTTATCTCTTCCCTGTCTTAAATGTAGGCATGTCTAGCTCTATGCTCCTGTCCTTCCATCTGTTTGTGCTCCCAGTTGTGCAGCATATGATTTGAGTCTGCAGAATGATGAAACTTGCGTTTTCAGACTTTCAGAGATCCTAGTGAAAAAATGTTTCAAGTTTTTCCTTGCTCCTTATCACAGCACTCCCCCCCACCCCGCCTTTTTTGTGGTGAGAACATTTAGATCTACTTTTCTAGCAACTTACAAGTATATAATACAATACTGTTAACTATAGTCACCATACTGTACATTAGACCCCCAGAACTTACTCATCTCTCATCTTATAACTGGAAATTTGTACCCTTTGACCAACATCTCCCCGTTTCCCTCAACTCCCAGCCCCTTTCACCACCTTTCTAGAATTAGAATTCTAGAAATAGAATTTGCTGTTTCTGTGAGTTCACCTTTTTCAGATTTCCCATAGAAGTGAGATCATACAGTTTTTGTCTTTCTGTTTCTGGCTTATTTCACTTAGCATAATATCCTCTAGGTTCACCCATGTTGTCACAAAAGCAAGATTTCCTTCTTTTTTTATGGCTGAATAATATTCCATTTTCTTTATCCATTCATCTGTCATTGGCTATTTAGGTTGTTTCTATATCCTGTACAGCCCCTTTTCTTTAAACATGAACCAACTGATCCATCATTTCTGCAGATATGACCAGATACGACTAAAGACTAAAGTGACTGCATATGAATTTGAGATATTTCTTCTTCCTTCCCACCATTTTAATTGATGAGAAACTGTAATCACAGTCATTAGTATAACCATTTATGACAATTACCAAGATGTATTCTAGTTTAGATAATATTATAGTATTATACACTGATTTTAATTATATAGTCATATTATTGTTATTGCACAATGATCCAAAAATAAATTTATTAAATGCCCCTGATATGTACATTTGCTATTAAGATTTAAAAAATTTTGGTCTTGAGTTTAAACCTATTCTCTATGCTTAGAACTATCCTTTTGAACAGTTTGTAGATATGTTGTATATAGTTTGTTTTCTCCTGCACATTAGAGTAGTATTTGTCTTCCCCCTACTCCACCCGCCCCCAGTAAAGGCTGGAAACAGCCTTTGTCTCCTCTTATGTAGTTCAGTCTCTGCTCTATAGCATCCCAAGTGAGCTGCAAGGGCCCTTTGAGATTATCTAGTCAAACTGAGGGAGAGAAGTAGAAACAGAAATGTAATCGGTTTGTTGAGAGTGAAAATAGGGGATTAGTTATTTGTATTTGACAGTTTTTTGATCCATAACTAAAATACAAAATACAGAAATATCTGTTCCTTTTTTTGTCGGAAAGGTATGTGTGAAGTCTGCAATTTGTAGAGGTGTTAGCCTTAATTGATCTTTAGGTTGTGTGTGTGTGTGTGTGTGTGTGTGCGTGTGCGTGCGCGCACGTTGGGGGTTGTGGTATAGTGTGTAAGAATACGTGGCGTGTCAGTTTATGGCGTACTGTTTGATCCCCATGAAACATGTTTGTTTTGGCAGCTGGCTTTCCCTGTAGCATCGTGTTGGAATTTGGCATGCAGTGTTTAAGCTCTAGTTATTTCATTTGGTACATTTTGGTCAATTTCTTAGTGATAGTAGATATTGAGTTTAAATTCCAGAGCAGAAAACTTGAAAACGAGAATATAGTATACGATCACCAACCGACACCATGTTCAAAAACACAGTTGTTTGTTTGGCACGTGTTCACTAATGTAACTTTTTCAACTGACAATATTATTTGATTTAGGATCTTAGAATTTGAACTGCATGGAAATCTGATAATTTTGGTATTTATTTTTTTTACAGAGAGGAAAAAGGAAAATGGATGACTGAAAAAAAGTATTATTTGTCACATTTTAAAAGTTGTATTTCCTTTCCTAGGTTGCTGTAGTGAAACTAAAAAATGCAGATAAAGTATTTGCCATGAAAATATTGAATAAATGGGAAATGCTGAAAAGAGCTGAGGTAAGATTCTAATTATTGGAATATTTAAATAATATTTTAGAAATATTTTTAGAGAAAAATAAAATGATAGAGAGCCCATAGGTCTTTAAGTATCATTTAGTAACCTTTTATCTACGATGGCATTATTTTTTAAAGCCTAAGAGACAAATTCAGTAATTCACAATTATGATATAGTTATGATGAATGTTACATTTGTGATGCTATTTTAATATTATCTGAAAACCAAATGGAAACCCTTTGAATGTCAGGCTTAGACACTTATGTTAAAAGGATGTGTGGAAACCAGTTTCTTTTACAGGAAGAAATTTTGTAGTGACTGATATCCAATTTGATATAACTTGTTTATATTATTTATCTGTATTCTGCTATAAGCAAATTCCGCAGGAATTTTGAATATGGCCTGTAAGAATTCTGTTTATTGCTGACTATGCAGTTAAATTTATGTTTTGTTTCATATTATTAAAAATGGGAGTAAAATGTGCTGTTGAAAGAGTTGTCAGCATTTTAATCTTCGTGCTAGATTTGAGGGAAAGACTGACTGGAATGATGTTAAAAATATCTAATAGCCGATATGTATGTCAAACCTGACATTACATGTAAATGGGGGAGTGGTTCTGGAGGTCTGCTGTTCTGGGTTATAGTGAGTTGCTCAGTGAGGTAGGGCATTCAGGGGCCTCAGGGAAGCAGAACTTACCGGTGTGGAAATACTTTAACTTACAGTAGGCTGAGTGTTAGCTCTAGAGGGTAGTAAGATTCATAAGAGGATAATGAGAAATTAGCCCTTAGAAATCTTTCTGTATATACCAGTACTTGTAGCAACCTGAAAAACAGCAAATACATAGGGAAAAGCAAAAATGGTTCCCATGATGATAGATACATACTGTGGTAGTGAAAGTAAATACTTCAATATTTCTTTCTTTTAGAAAAATTTGAAGAAATAACAAAACACAAAGAAGAAACTAATAATCACTTTTATTCCATCATTTAGAATTAATAACATTTTGGGCAAGTTTTGCTTTCAGTCTTTTTCTTTTCTATTTGCCTACTGAAAAAAACTGCACACATGAAATTACAGATATATTCTTTGTAAAACAAATAATAGCACATTACAGATAAAGCTAAGGTACTCTTTGACTATACCCTGCCCAAGTCCAGCCCCTCTCTACCTCCCAGAGGTAATTACAGAGGTAATAAAATCGTGTTTAAAAGAGTATCTGGAAAGTTTTATGTCACTCTCTGACATATGTGCCAGTGCCCATTATATTCAATAACTTCAATATTTACTTTTGTATTTCCCTAAAACTGAATTGCCTTACTGTCACTGGTCATATTTTCCAGGTAATAAACACTGAGATTGAGTTTAGTATGCAGTCTATTTATTAGGAGGTGCCTTTGAAATTGACATTGATAGACAGGAAAGGAGGTGAAATACGATTTGTCAGGGAGAAGTCAAGCTGCCCCTTCATCCTCTGTTGATCCAACAGGGATCCGTGGAGCAGAAATGGTCCTTCAGAGTTGTCCTACCCTGGGCCAAATGGTTGACCTTTATGCACTTGCCTCAGTTACTCATTGGATACGGGCTGCCTCCAGAAGGACATGGCCTTGGGCTAGTAGGCTTTCGGTGGCTGAGACAAAGCCTGGAGGGGCTGACAGCATTGCCAGCAGTTGGAGCAATAAGTCTTATTATTAAAAATTAGTAAAGAATTATGTTCTAATTGTTTCGCAGAACTCATAATTGTAGTGGGTTAGTGTTCCAGGGTTAGAACTTTTAAAAAATTTAATTAAAGTTTGTACTTACTTTTTATGATGTTGGATATGTTGGGGAAGAAATTTTTTTTTTAACATCTTTATTGGAGTATAATTGCTTTACAGTGGTGTGTTAGTTTCTGCTTTATAACAAAGTGAATCAGTTATACATATACATATGTCCCCATATCTCTTTCCTCTTGCATCTCCCTCCCCCCCCCCCCCCCTATCCCACCCTTCTACCTGCTCACAAAGCACCGAGCTGATCTCACTGTGCTATGCAGCTGCTTCCCACTAGCTATCTATTTTATGTTTGGTAGTGTATATATGTTGGGGAAGAATTTTGAAAAGAAAGAGTAACTGGTTTAACTTTCATTACTCACTGGAGGAAGTGGCAAAATTGAAGATAAAACAGGAATAATTAAAAATTAAATATTATTTTGTTGAATTAAAAATCATTAATATGTTCTGTTTCTGGGGCAAGATGGAATAGATGTGCTTCTTCCTATCTTTCCCATTAAGTACAGCTAAAGACCATGGACATTATATATAAAACAGATATACAAAGTCTCTGAAAGGCAGAGAGAATGTGGAAAAACTAGGGGCCTTGGGACCCAAGGAATGTCACTCATTCCGTGAGGTCAGTATTATTCTGATGGAATAACCAGATAAGGACCATACAAAGAAAGTTAAAGATCAATATGCCTCATGAACATAGATGCAAATATCCTTAAGAAAATATTAGCAAATAGAGTTCAGCAATATATAAAACAAATCATACACCATGACCAAGTGGGGTTTATTTGAGGGATACAAGGCTGGTTCAGTATTTGAAAGGAACTTGCCTCAAATTATTTGTAACATTCATTTTTTAGGAAGAAATTCTACATTGAAACTTTTAAAGAGGAATTCATTTTAAAGTAGGATGGAATTATATTTCTGTGCTTGAATTGTCAAATCCTTTTTTTAAAAAAACATTGAAAAGAAGCGCATTCTGATCATTACTTATCTAATTTGGGAAAACTGGTCCTACCAGTGATGCTTAATGAATTACAAATGAGCAGCAAAATTTCTTACTTTTTAAATCTGTGTATTGTTGATACTTTAGAACACTATTCAGAGATTTACCTCCAACCTGTTTATCATATTTATTTCTATTTAAGGTATGTAACAGATATAATAATTAGTGGGACATGGATTATTTGAAGATACTAGGAAATTTGTCTCTTTCTGTACCTGGCAGATAGATAATTAGTAAATAATCTTATAGTTACAAAGATTAATATCTCTAGAGATTCATCATTTACAAACTTTGTTAGTATGTCAGCAATCCCTTAAGTTAACTTCTCCTAATCTATTCTGTGAATTTTACTTTCATTTCAAATTTATTCAACTCTTATTGATTTCACTCATATAGGAGATGTCTTACTCACTTCGTTGGAAGATGCAGTATAGTTTACAGAAATGCTCTCCATCTCAAGAGTCAAACCTTTGCAAGGCTCAGTTATCTTATCTGTTAAATAAAGATAATTGTCTCTATACCATAAGTGGAGGAATAATATATCTTAGTTTAACTGTGATAGTACTGGTTTATGCCTGTTGTCTTACTATTTTTTTTATTGTTGTTAGCCCTGTTTTATTATTTTTATACATGTATGTGCCAGGAGGAGTAGTAGTAGTAGCTGTAGTAGTTAATAGTAGTAATGAATTGAGGTCATTAGATTGGAACTGCCTCTACTTCCTGATCTGCTACGTATAGTAAAAAAAGAAAATGCAAGCACTCTAGAAAATAACAAGTAAAAAAATGAAAGCTTTTTTTTTCCCTCCCTCAGATGTCCAGTCTTTCTGTTCAAAGTAAATCATTATTAAGATGATTTATTTATCCTTAATAGAAAAATTTACTATACTGGAATCATATTAAAAGACTGATTTTTTCACAGTGCTTTTATCACTTAATAATATATATTGGATTTTTCCATTTCCATATTTATAATTTTACCTAATTCTTTTTTTTTTTTTTTTGCTGTACGCAGGCCTCTCACTGTTGTGGCCTTTTCCGTTGCGGAGCACAGGCTCCGGACGTGCAGGCTCAGCGGCCATGGCTCACGGGCCCAGCCGCTCCGTGACATGTGGGATCTTCCCGGACCAGGGCACAAACCCATGTCCCCTGCATCAGCAGGCGGACTCTCAACCACTGCGCCACCAGGGAAGCCCTCTTTTTTTTTTTTTTTAAATAAAGTATTTATTTATTTTTTATTTTATTTTTGGCTGCGTTGGGTTCTTGTTGCTGCGTGCGGACATTTCTTTGGTTGTGGTGAGCAGGGGTTACTCTTCGTTGCAGTGCACAGGCTTCTCATTGCACTGGCTTCTCTTGTTGCGGAGCACGGGCTCCAGGCCCGTGAACTTCAGTAGTTGTGGCTCGTGGGCTCTAGAGCGCAGGCTCAGTAGTTGTGGCACACGGGCATAGTTGCTCCGCGGCATGTGGGATCTTCCCGGACCAGGGCTCGAACCCGTGTCGCCTGCATTGGCAGGCGGATTCTTAACCACTGCACCACCAGGGAAGCCCTACCTGATTCTTTTTAATAGTTTCATTATACTGAATGGATATATTGTTTAGTATGATGATTTTTTCTTTTAAACATTGATGGGCATTTAGCTTATTTCCACCTTTTTACTATTTTTATTTGGTTATTTCACCAAATCTAACTATGTGTGTTTAGCAAAGAGGAATTTCAAAACAAGAGAGAAAATAGTGCATCAGAACTAGTCACGCCACCTAAGAAGTATATGCAATGTAACATAGAAATGGAACGGGCTGTGAAATACTGTTAATCAGAGATGTTGCTGTTGGCTGCCCTGAGGTACTCCAGGTTGTGTATGCTGAGGTTGAAGGGATTTTAAGTATAGCTTTTACACTAAGGGATTTTCACGTCCTGCTGACTCTAGAATTTGTCCACTCCCCAGATTAAACTCCTCAGTAGTGGAATTCCTGGGTTGTGTGGGACGGGTATACCTTTAAACTTCGATAGCGATTGCCAAATTGTCTTCTAAAAAAAGTTGGATCAGTGTATCTTTGCACTCATAGTATTTAAACATGTCTGTTTTCTCACACATTTGCCAACTGTGGATGTTATCAAGTGATTTATGTGATGTATCTCATGTTTGATTTGGTCACCAAATACATATTAATATGGAGATTTAAAAGTAAATTGATGCTTTGGTGTGTAAGAGCTGATATTTGAAGTTCTTGCATTTTGCAATTTAAAATTCCACCGGTTTATCTATTTTTTTAAAATAAAAAAATACTTGACTTTTTTCCCCTCAAATATTAGCTTAGAGAGAATGATTCAATTATTATTTGAAAGTCTTCTTTTGTGGTAATACTTCATGGGTGAGATAAGTCTTTATTACTTATAAATTAGAAGCCAAAGTAGATATATCATGAATGGATTTTCTCATTTTAACATGTGATTTCCAAGTATTTGGGCAATTTGGATATTCTGTATAAGAATAATGATCTGATGAATGCACCTGTGGATCTAGGGAAGAGAATCATGTGACAGTTTTGCAGAATTATTATCATTTATATATGGTCTGTATTAACTTCTGTTTCAGCATAGGTATTCCTTTTCTTCTTTCTTTTTAACCAATAACCCATTAAGGATAAAATTTAAACACTATGTAACTGAATATTAACAATGTAAAACTGCACAACACTCAAAACCATCACTGTGCAAGCAGAATGTTTCGTTGAATAGAAACTGAGTGACAGAATCTGAAGAAGCTATATGGTCTCCAGTAACCTCTCCTTTGTGATGATCGCATTCTTAGAGACCCAAATATTCTTTTTTTTAAGGGAGGATTTTTAAAAAATCTTATTTAGTTTTTTCAAAAATGTAATTGAAATGGACATTATTAAATGTCTTTATATTGAATCCTTGGTATACATGCATCATGGTTGGGTTAATATTGATCTAGAACAGGGTTTTTCAGCAGTGGCACTTCTGACGTTTGAGGCCAGATAATTCCATCTGGGGGCTGTCCTGTGCATTGTAGGATGTGAAGCAGCATCCCTGGCTTCTTCCCACTAGATGCTGGTAGCATTACCCCTCACCCCTCCTCAGCTGTGACAGCCAACTGAGGACAGTGTGATATACTGAAGCAAAAAAGGAGACTGTGCTTCACATCTAAACTAAGTATCTGAGGCATTAATAGGAATAGTCTATAATACCTAAGTATGTATGGGTAAAATCATATGTCTGAGATATGCGTCAAAAAAATCCTCTGTGTATATACATATGTGTGAGTATTCACATGTATGTGTGTGGAGGAAGGGTGGTGGTAAGTGGGTGAGAGTGTAGATGAAATAAAATTGAACAATAAAATAATTGTTGAAATTGGTTGATGGGGGCAGGGGATTATTTTACTGCTTTCTCTTGTATATGTTTAAAATTTTATATTAGAAATAGTTTATATTTTATGTTTTTAAAAATTAATTTATTTTTTCACTACATAGTTTAGAATAGATTAGAACCTACTAAAGTTAATCTGTTCTGTTGACAGGTAGTCTTTGGAGCTTTATTTAGTTTGGAGTCATCAGTCAGTCACATTTCCAGATTCTAGCTGGAAATGTCTTTAAAATTTCAGATAGCTGTCCTGGTAAGATAAAGCCAGGAGAAAGGCGTCTCCTAGGCTTGACAGACTTCACCACCTCTCTAAAATGTTAGCAGCAAACCATAATTTCAGGTCAGTTAAAGTCTGAAACAGAACTTAGTTGTATGTCAAGTGATTCTATTTTCCCCGTAAAGTGAACGAAAGCATGATATTGTAGATTTTAATAATTGAATTGACAGGTAAAACTGCCCATTCATTTGGTTTAAGCTTTATTTGTTTTAAAATTTTTCCTTGGTGATGCTGTTTAATAAATGGCTTTGGAAATTCTATTGCATCAAATAAAATTTATGGAAATATGTGGGAAAAAATTAAGGTACTTAATTAGGGTAAATTAAGTAATGCTAATTGTTTTATATATCATGGCTGTTGAATTTATCTTGTGGGAAATAAATTATTAGGCACCTGCTATGTGTAGAATACTGTCTGATGGTTTTTCAGTGTGTATGGAATGTGGTACAGCCATTAAGAAAAATTAGGTCTCTATGTACTGGTGTGGAAAGCTGTTCAGATATATTGTTACTTGAAAAACATGACTTACAGAGCACTGTGATCTCATCTGTGTAAAGGAAGAAAAGATAGGGGAGATGGGATGCCATATGAATATAGTTGTGTGTGTGTGTGTGTGTGTGTGTGTGTGTGTTGTGTGTGTGTGTGTGTTTATATGCTTATGTGTATACAGAAATTTTCTGAGAAGAAATTCAACTGAGTTATTGGTAGTAACCTCTGGACATAACAGGTGGACAGTGAAACTATCAGGGTGTGACTCAGGGAGACTTTTAATTTCTACTTTACCTTTCAGTTGTTTTTGGCATAGCAGCTTTTTAATTAAAAATTTAAAGATATATTGTAGAATTATAAAGTATCATATAAAGTTATTTTTTATTTTTAGCCACACATTTCTAAGGTTCTCCAGGATGCATCTTTATAATAGTGGAAATATATCCTCAGAATAAATTAAAACTTTTATAAATCAGTAAGAAAAAGACAATTCATTAGAGAAAATGGGCAAAGGGAGTTTTTCAAAGAGAAAACTCAGATGTCCAATAAGCATATGTAAACTTATTTATTTACAGGGAACTCTACTCGATGCTCTGTGGTGACCTAAATGGGAAGGAAATCCAAAAAAGAGGGGATATATGTATCCATATAGCTGATTCACTTTGCTGTACAGTAGAAACTAACACAACATTGTAAAGCAATATACTCCAATAAAAATTAATTAAAAAACGAGTGCAACAAAAAAATTATTTGCACCTGTAATTAGGAATATGTTAATTAAAAGAATGATGAGATATTATTTCACACCCATCATATTGACACGCACTTAAAAGTTTAACAATGCCAAGTGCAGTTGAGGATGTGGGGAAAAGGGGAGATTTCATACACTAGGGTGAGGGTAGTAACTGGCATGCCACTTAGGAAAGAAAATTGGCTGAATCTGGTAAAGTTGAAAACGCTTAAAACTAGTATTTCTGTTTCCAAGTGTATACTCTAGGAAACTCTTGCAAGTCCCCTACAATGAACAAGTTCCGTTCCCGAGAGCACGTTTGTAAGTCCAACTTGTTTGTAAGTCCAACAAAGTTAACCTGGGTGTCCAACTAACACAGTCGGCTATATAGTACTGTACTGTAATACGTTTATAGTACTTTTCACACAAATAATACATAAAAAACAAAAAATAAAACATTTTTGATCTTACAGTACAGTACCTTGAAAAGTACAGTAGTACAGTACAACAGCTGGCATACAGGGGCTGGCATCGAGTGAACAGGCAAGAAGAGTTACTGACTGGAGGAGGGAGGGGAGGTGGGAGATGGTACTGAAGGATCGTCAGCAATAGGAGATGGAGGGCAAGCTGCAATTTCACTCACGCCTGACACTGATGGCACAGGTTTTAGTTCCTTGCTGGATTCAATTCTATCTACCCCCTTGAAAAAACGATCCAGTGATGTCTGGTTAGTACTGTACCAGCTCCATCACCGCTGCTTTTACACTTGCTTCCAGACATCCTGGGCTTGAAATAAAAATACTGTACTACTGTACTGTATACAGTGCTGTACAGTAAAGTATACACAAAAGCACAACCACTTGTAGAGGATGCATGCATATGGCAACGTATGCCAGACAGGGGAACTAACTTACGTGATTGGACATGCGAACACATGTTCGCATCTTTGAAAGTTCACAATTTGAAGGTTCGTATGTAGGGGACTTACTGTACATTTGTACAAATATATTCATTGGCAGCATTGAAATAACACAAAATTGGGAGATCTTCGTGATTGGGGGTTATATAAATAAATTCTGCCGTATTCATACAATGGAATACCACAGCAATTAAAAGGTAAACAGCCATCTATGCAAAGGGATAGATGAAATTACACTATTCACGGAAGTTTTCAAAACACAAAACAATTCTATTGTTTTTGGACACATACATGAATAATAAAGCATGTGATGGGAAGAATATATACTAACTTCAGATTATTCATTTTCTCAGAGGGAGAAGGGACAGGAATGCTCTAGGAATAGGAAGGCTACAACTTGTATCATATTTTCTTAATAACAAAATGATCAGAAGTAAATGTGACAAAATGTTGACATTTATATTATCTAGACGGTAGATTGGACCATGGTTGTTAAATAATTCTGTGTATTTTTCTGATTTTTTTGAACTACAACAGTATTTTTAAATATAAAATACTTGTAAGTGTACTGTTCCAGTTGTTCAATTTCTGAGGGGTCTTTGAAACTTGACTTATTGGAAAGTCGTATAATATTAGATGTATTCCCTTTTCAGAACAGAAAGTGTAATAAGTATTTTAAGCAATTGTTTGCATAATATATTTCCTAGTTTTACATGAAGTATTCTTTGTCTAAAAAAATGTTTTTTTCCTTTTCAGACAGCATGTTTTCGTGAAGAAAGGGATGTGTTAGTGAATGGAGACAATAAATGGATTACAACTTTGCATTATGCTTTCCAAGATGACAATAACTTAGTAAGAATCACTTTTTATATGTTTCTATATCCTTATTAATTTTTTATTGGCAGAATTTAGAATTTAGCATTATTTTCTCTTAAGCATTATTTAAATGTAAATGTTATTTAGAAAACCACTGAATTTCAGAGTATAAGTTGTTTATTTTGATATGTGATTTCTTTCCCTGGGTAATTCAATACCTTTCTGTTGGAATTTTTTATGTTTTTTAATAAACACGTCAAAACTAAATCCAAACAGATTTACATTCTATAAAAGGTGGTCAGGATTTTTTTCCATTATTTTCTCAAGATATCTTATTTGTAGTATTCTATTACTATTTAGAAGTTTACATATTTTTCAAAGTTGTCATGTGTTACTTTAAGTAGAGCCATATTTAAAATCTAGGCTGTGTCTAATTTTATATTAACATCATGAACCACTTGACAAAAGAAGTTGGGAAAGAGCTTGGAGGAAAATCAAACTGTTAGAAGCACTACCAATTGAAGATTGAAGAGATGAACAAGTAAATAGGAAAATAGGTGATATCTGTCACAGTCGAGTGTACAACTCCTTGGCCTGTTATTCAAAGCTCTTCATTTTCTGACCCCAGTTTTTATTTCAAGGTTTAGTTTTTAGCATACATGTGTTGAGTTCCTGCTTTGTGCCAGCTACTACTACTATGTACTGGGATATAAAAATCAATAAGACATTTTTCATTAATTTGATATTTATTGGACATGTGCTGTGTGCTAGGCATTGTTCTTTAGATTCTAGAGACTCAGTAGTGAATAAGACAGACAAAGGATCTCTTTTCTTATTCTTACATTCTTGTGAGGGGAACCAGAAACGGAATTCACAGTCAAGTAAATAACATTTACACATTGTTTCATATAAGAAAAATATAACATTTATTCAAAGGTATGAAGTCAGTAAGGGCTCTTCTAAGAAAAATGTACATTGCCTAAACCAAGAAGGGAGAAGAGGCGGAGATGGCTTGGTGAGCATGGAGATTTGAAGCCACCTTGTTATGTTCCTCTTGATGAAGGATAGAAAAAGAGGCTTGGGGATGAGGGAGGAGAGATGAGAGAGTCACATAATATAGCACCTTATACGTTATGGTAAGGAAATTAAACTTTTACAGTCATGAGTTTCAAAAACAAATATTTTTTTGATCATGGAACTCTAGTGTGTGTGTTTTGTAAAACAACATTATATCTGAAAGCCTGTACAATGAAGCATATAGAAACGCAACTGCCCTGACTGATCTCTTAGCTTCCTCCTTCCACTTTCCTTCATGCTTTCTCAGGGTTCTTTCACAGAGCAGGTTTGGAAGCTGCTGTTTTAGGACTGTAGAAGGGTTTGTGACAGGAAAGGACTGAGGTTGTTTGAGGGATGAGAGGAAGGCTAGTGTGATTATGATAAGGAGGGGAGAGAGGTATAAAATGAGGCTTCCAGAGTGTAGGCCATGCAGAAGAGTTCGAATTTTATTCTAATTTCCAGGAGGGTTTTAAGGATAGTGTGATAATCAGTTTTATATTTTGTATAGAACATCCTAGCAGAAGTGTTAAGGATGGATTTCAGGGGGCAAAACTAGAGAGACCAGTTAGGAGACAATATTCAGGTGACAGATAATGAGGGATTGAATAAAGGTGACAGTGGGAGGGGATGGTTTCAGGTACTATTTAAGAAGTAAAATAATAATGACTTGTTGTGTTTGAGTGAGTGTCAGTGGAGGAGAGAGGAGTCAGAATGATTCCCAGTTTTCTGGTGTCTGACTTGTGGGATTCAGTGGTTGGTAGGTGATGAATTGAGTTGGGGAATATAGGAGGAAGAGAAAATTTAAAGTAGGTGGGAAGATGATTAGTTTAATTTGATATATGTTGGGTTTGAATTGTCATGTGATCCATTTAATGGGTTAGATATGTAAGTCTGGTGTTTCTGAGGGTGTCTTGGAGTTCTTATAGATCAGATTTTGGCAAATTGTGGCCTGCAGCTCACATCTGGCTCACCACCTATTTCCATACAGCCTGCAAGCTAAGAGTTGTTTTTACATTTTTAAGTAGTTGGAAAAAATCAAAAGAAGAATACCTTATGACATGTGAATATTATATAAAGTTAAAATTTCAGTGTTCATAAAGTTTTATTGACACACAGCCATGCCCATTGATTCATGTATTATCTGTGGCTGCTTTGTGGCAGAGTTGACTAGTTGTGATGGAGACTGGCACTGTGACAGAGGGTAACACACTATATGTGTCACTCGTTGCTTTGCACTGAGTCAGACTACAAAGCGCAGTGACAGTTATAACTTGATAGCATTTCAATTTATAACTTGATAGCATTTCAAGTGCTATATCATGACTTTTTATTGTTTTTAAAATTAACAGTGCATATGCCTCATGTCAAAATAAGAAAAGTAGACTTTTCAGTATCATGCTTTTAAGGCACAGTAGAGTGTGGATTATTTTGTTAATGAATTAAATTACGGCATAGTGTTTATTGCATAACTACACTTCACTTGTACTAATAGAATACAATAAATGTCTACATTGCCAAACTGAGCACTCATCACAGCATTCCTAACGCATAGGAAAGCAGCAGTCAGAAAAGTTAGAAAATTTAAAACAATATCTTACCACAGCAGAATTTTTTCACAAAATAAAAAATGAAAATGAGGCTGCAACTGTAGTAAGTTCCTGAGTGGCTCATTTACTAGCCAAACAAGGAAAGCTATTTACCAATCTTGAGTTAATTAAATCATGTTTGATTGCAGCAGCCAAAGAAATGTGTCCACAGAAAATAAACTTGTCTAAGACTATTAGCGTTTTGGTGAGAACAGTTGCTTCAAGAATCGAGGACAATGGGAGCAGCATCAATGGTGGATTTTAAAACCAGGGAAATAATCATTTCCTGTCACATTGAGAGGGTTTCTTTGACTCTTGAGTTGAAAGATGGTGCTGGTTCTGCTCAGTCCTTGTTACTTGAGGGGTCAATGTTTGAGTTTGAAATAGCTGAGGAATTAGCCTCTATGAATATCTTGTGTGGAATCATTACAGTCATATTATTTTCAAAGAAGTTGAGAAAACACTGATTTGGTACAACTTGAATTGGAATCTGCTAAAACATATTACAGTTGAGAGTGGTAAAAATATGTATGAGCAGGAAAAGGCTTATTTGGACAGATTTACAAATCATGTGAAAATATTAGTTGCGTAAAGCATGTGGATGTTCATTGTCTTATTAATCAGCAGGTAGTTTGCAGCAAATATTTGAATCTATCATGTGTTGAACCAGTAGTATCAACGTTGCACTTCATTCAGTTTTTTGGAAACAACTATTATCATTTCCATGGATTTTTATCAGAAATCAGAGCTAAACATTCTTGCTGTGCCATGCAGCCGTTCACTGGTTTTGCAGTGGTAACATTTTATTGCGATATTTTGAACAAAGGACCGATTGAAATATAACTGAACAAAAAACCCCACCCTCAACCATTATTATGAAGTATTGAAAAGGCTTGGAAATTAGCTTTTCCTGTAGACTTGATATGTTTTAAAAATAAATTTAAAATAAAATTACAAGGCAAAACAACACTTATATGCAAAACTATGCTATGGTGAAGTCATTTTGACAACTGACATTGTTTGAATCACAAGTAATGTCAAGCTGCTGTATCTACTTCCCATGCTGTCAAAAGTAAAAAGGAGTGAGATTTCCATTTCCACATAGATTTGCTGCCGATAAATCTTTTGAGCTCAAACTACAGTTCTAGCAGCAATTTTTGGAACTTGATGCAAGTGCAAAGGAAATGTTTGTAGTTCAACATCCATTTAACTGGGCAGTTGAGAACTTCCACCTAAATTTCAGGTAGAAGTGGTTAATCTGCAGTAATGACATACTTATGCACAGGAATCAGGAGAAAATTTTAATAGCATTCTATAAATGCATTTCAAGTAGAGGAATATGCTCAATCAAGATTATATACTCATGAACTGATATGAGTATTTGGCAGTACCTATCTTTGTGAATAGAGTTTCACAGATGAAATATGTAGACTCTCAATACAGATCAGCATTTGCAGATATACATTTGCAGTAGGTTTTTGATGGTAGGGAATGCTAACTTTGAGCCCCAGTTAAGCAAACTGTTCTATTCCCCTCTCCCCACAAAAGAATTACATTTTCTCATTAGTAGTCCATATTACAAAAATTGTATTCAATTATCACTATTATATTTTGCATTTTGCTAATGAAATGTGTGGAAATTTGTTTTCTCTCATTATATATGTGCCTATATAATATCCTTGATTTTGCCTCTTGGCCTGCCAATCCTAAAGTATTTACTCTCTGGTCCTTTACAGGAAAACTTGGCCAACGCTTTTTGTAGATAACAGTGAATACAAGGAGTAAATGAGAATCACTGAGCAGTGCTTGTAAAATGAGAAAGCAAGTTTGCCTAGAGAAGTCAGAGATAGGGCACCCCAAGAAGTAGAAAACTAATGGAAATGGTCAGAGCAAGAAAGAGAATCAAAATACTGCACCATGGAAACTGAAAGGAGAGTTGGTAGAGAAAACCATTAATAGTGTTAAATATAGTATAGTGGTAAATAAAAAGATATGACTGGAAATATTGTGCCTGCCCAAATTCTCTGTTTCAGCCTCAGTGGAGGGAATACCCTCCATTCTTGAGCATTCTCTGTACTCTTTTACTTTCTGTCTTTGTTTTTATTGTCCATGATATCTTTCATACTAGTGCCACTCCTTCCTCTTCCTGCCACTAGTCCTGTTGAAGTCTAGCTAATACTTTAATATTGTACTCAAATTCTACATCTTAACAGTATTTCCAGTTTGAATTAATCTTTCTTATTTCATTTTAGCTTTACATTTTTTAGTACTGCTATTATATGATTAACCTATGTATGTATATATCTTTGATTTTTTGGGTACAACTTAAAAAAGTTTTAAATAGATGGCATGAACCCTGCTATCTTTAGCTAAAATATAATTAGAGGTTAGTGT